AGAAGGAATGTCCCAGCCAGCTATGAAGATTGTTTACAGTATTTAGTAGAGCCAAAGCCTACGGATCAGACACTACTTTAAAAAAAAACACTTTTGTGTTAGTGAGTGGGTCTCTTAACATTAAAGGAGACATACTAATATTAAAGGACAATGTAGAGCTGACCAAGGAAATAAAAAACAAACTGTTTGCTTGCTGCTCTGTTTGAGTATTTATCTTGCCAGAGGAAAAGCTTATTTGGCTGTGAAGGATTGTACAATCGTAAGGAGCTATTGAATAGGGACAGATGAAGAAAGTCATGTGTCTCAATGTGGATGCTGAGTTATTAAGGGAATATATATGTCATTAAGTAATGTTGTATGGCCATGTTAATGTGAACGCATTCACAGATATTAAGGCTGCAGATGAGCAGTTTGCTGGAGTGAAGAATGCTCTCAAAATACAAAAAGTGTAGAGAACGGTTCAGAGTGAAGGATTTTTAGTGAAGAAGAGTAACACTTTAATTGTAGAAATGCATTAAATGTTATCAGATTTAAAAAATGATTGAAAGAAGCTACTTGATGTTAGGTTTATATGCTAGAAGAAACCTTGATCCTTAAAGTGTCATGATGTCAACGGTATTTGATCAGGTGTTAACAGTTAGCAGTATTCATTCGAGCTGTGACCACACATTGAACACCCACCTTAATTTGCCAACACCCCCTTTTTCTTTTTATTATACCGATGATAACTTATCCTGTCTACAAGGAAATAATTGCTGAGGAGCAGACATGTATTGTCTAGGAAAAGTGTCATTTTGGTATAAAATGTCTCCACTAAAGACAAGTACAAAAACACATAAGTGCAATGATAGAAACGCTGCATAGGCTTTAGTATGATCTTCGTATGGATGTAATATATAATGAATGTCTGATGAGAAGTACGAGGCCTACAACATGTCTATTGAATGTATATTTGGATAGTTTTGGTTACTTGTAGTTGTATGACAACAATTTCCACCCAGTTACATTCTCACTGGTATGCAAATTATTATGCAAAGTACAAGATTTCTTTTTGTTTGTGATTAACACTATCTGATCTTGCATACCTTTTTATATCCAAATGTGTCAACCAATTGTTTTGTTTATGGAGTTCCATGTGGTGTATTTTTTTGTACATCATTTCTACCTTCATGGTGTTAATGTTTTTCAGCAGATGTGACTTTAAATGACCAACTCTAATACATGACAGAGCTTTAAAAACTCCATGCTGTGTGTAAAACAATGAGGTTGAGGTACAACTGTATAGTAGAGCAACTTTTGCCAAGATTGTATAGTCTTAACTTCAGGTCCTTTTCTAATAAATATTTTAATCTGTGGCAACCCAAACTCCTTAATTAGACCTCTGGTGTTGGATCTGTCTCTGCTCAAAGGTACACACTCTAATTGATGTTACAAATGTACTACAATGCTTCATTTACATTGTTTACAGTAATTCTTACCTTGTTTAATTTTGTTGCTCTCTTAAGATACTAAAGCTCTGTACCACACAATAGATTTGTTTCTGTAGGACTGTCTAAACCGTAATGCCTTGGTTGCTTTTTTTTGTTTATGAATGACTACATGAGATGGGTTATGGTTGTATTTTTGTCTACTGCTTTGGAATAAACAGAATTAAATGAGATTTTCGAGGATATATGAAGACATGCCATGATTTGTCTCTGTGAATTAATTATGACTTTTTACAATTATCAAGACATTTTAAAGCCAAATTCAGTGATTATGTGTTTTATGCTTTATTTATAGAGCAAAAATAAAACTGTCAATGAAAGCCTTTTTTGCATTTTGCTTTATTTTTGTTTTCAGTATGTGTTTTATGATTTATTTTCTCTGGACTGAAAAATTTTAGTTTTTTAAAGAACAAGAAATGGCAGCAGTAAGGGTAATAGCCTACTGCTTTATAGGCTAACTTCATGGCCATTGCATTGATGTAGCCTAGTGTTAATGTAAGCTGTCTCCACTGATCACACAAGCACCACATTTAATTGACTTATCTAAGTTCATCATTTTTTGATATTGTAAACTAGCCTACATGTCGACAACATAAAGTCAATGTAATGTTGTAGGCTATATTTCAGTCATTACTAACAAATCCCCTACCTGTATGTTTTTTTAAGTTGATCACATACGAAGGATATGCTACATTCCTACATTGAACGGAAATGGTGTTTTTATGACCATAAAATTGTTAATAATTATATATAATAATAATAATTGTATAATGAATGCATTCGGTCTTTATTTACAGTAAAGATGCTGCTGTTGCTGCTGCATCATCAACAAATGCTTTTCGAGAACTTTACAGCTGCCGGTCACAACTTCCGGTCTGATATAACGACGACTCATTGCTCTAACGGAAGTTTGCGGTTGCCGAGCAACGGTTGTTGGGGGGGATTGTGTGACAGTGGTAAGTAACAATAGCGCTTATTTTAATCACAATTGGATGGAATTATTTACCTTTTTACATACAGAAAAAAAACTGTATTTATTATTTCTGTTCCACACTTTAGTTACATCAGCCTTCAAACAAAACGACTACTATTACTACTACTAAACGACTAAGTTAACGTAAGCGCTGGTGTTCGCTCCGTTGTTTTCCTTCTTTCTACACAGGCCATATGGCGAGATAGTTTTCTACAGAAGAAATTGGAGAAAAATAGCGTTCAAAAACACAGTTACAGTATGTTTGTTTACCTGTTGGGAAGGAAGACACTGACGCTACCAGTATAGATGTGCTAGTGCTACTATGTTCAAACCACTTGGTTGTCATGTAAAACGATCCAGTCTATATGTTGTCATCACAGAGCTCATGGAGAGGGAAAGAGAGGAGGGTAGGATGGAAAGCTTCGACCAAGAGGAGGAAGACAGCAGGACGCAGGATGGAAGAGTTCAATCTGCAGAGGACCATGGAGCAACTGTACCATTCGATCAAGAGGTAAAGAAGTGTCATATTGTTTGATGTAGTGTTTTTATTCTCCTGTGGGGATCAATAAAGAGATATCTTCTTGTCATCCTGTGAATAAATAGCCACATTCATTGTGTTTTATTATGTGATATTTAATTGATATCACACTTTGCTAGTGTGTTGTATAGAATAATTAACAAGGAATCCAAGTACCCTATACTGTTGCATACAATGTTTGTCCTATCAAACACAAATAACCAGTTCCCACAAAGGCTGAATATTTGCAATCCAATGTGTGTTCATAACTGAACTCTGTTTAAATCATTTTTCAGTATCCAAAAATCCTTTCTATGTGCTTTCTGTATGTGTCACAGTGTGGCTTACAGGATCAGCCAGAAGCAGAGCTGGATAGGGCGACCCCCGAGCCTCACTCTGACCACAGGGGCACAGATGAATATCACACTGAAGGTCAGTCTCACAGTAACCCTGTTTGTGATTTACAAGAGTATAAAACAACACAGTGTGACACATTTTAACAAAGGTCAATATGATTCTTAATCACCAAAGGGAAATACATATTGGCAAATGTAGTGCAAACTGATTTAAATGACATCTATAAGGGCTCATATAGGAGGATTTGCTCAAGACCTATTTATTCAAAAGTCAATTTAATAAATTGAGACTGAATCAATGAGATGTTATTATCAAAAGTATAACAAAAAGAACAAAAGAATGAACACAAATATGTTATTTAAGAAGATAAAGTCAAAGAAAGACAAGAATACTTTCAATAACATGTTTACGAGTACTTTCACAGTCAGCATTATATTTTTATTTTTTTTACATTTAGATGCTGTTATGGTTTAAAGATTTGCCTGATTTTCTGATTTCAGTGGTGGAAAATGTTACTGAGGTGCCGTTACCTCACTTCTCAGATCTAAATGCATCGGAAGACACAGAGGACCATGATCCACTGCAAGAAGAAGAGGAGTTTATTGTTCTGGACCCTGAGCATGTCTGTAGCTTCTTAAAGATTCCATGTTATTGCAGAATCATGGTTTTAGTGTACGAATACAATGATTTTATAGTCAGTTGGTTGATTCTTATAAAGCCTACTGTCATGCCTTTGATGCCGTGTTTGATGTTTTGGCAGCCCCTGGTTAGAAGGCAGCAAGCCGCCCTCAGCAGGCAGCTCAGCAATGAGTTGGAGAGGATCAACGAGCGTCTAAAGCAAAAGGTTGGTATCTTCTCACGTACCATATTGTGTTAGTTCTAACATAAATAGATGTACACCTTAAGAAGCAAACATCATGTAGTTAACAATCACCCCACATGTCAATTCATCCACAAGATGGTGCTGTTGACCTGTGAAGAAAAAATAGATCATAATAATAAATCTCTTTAAAAATAGACCATAATAATAAATCTCTTTAAAAATAGATCATAATAATAAATCTCTTTATTTTGATCTATGGTCCTTCATGTAGTATTTACTCAACAGCATAAGATATTAACACAACATGGATATATGTGACCAAAATTGTATACATGGAAAATGTATAGAAAGTATACTGAGATTGCCTGAAAGACTAAACGAGGGATGTTGTGCCCTTTCTCTGACTGTTCCAGCAATCAATAGAGAAGACGGATGACAAGCACAAACTGGAGGTAGCTGTCGAGTTATTTAGGGTTCAGGAGCAGCTTGCGAGACTCCAGAGCAGGCTGGAGGAGCGTCATCAAAACAAGGCACAGGCTGAAGCCAAACATCGGCAGATCCAGGATCAACTGGGGGTGGTGAAGAGCCAGTATTCTAGTACCACCAACCAGAACAAGAAAGCCAAATCTAACAGTGAGAGTGATTTAGTGGTCTTGTTTTGTTGTTGATCGAGTATTCTATAGAACTCTCTGTCTCCATTTACTTTGATTCAACAGATCTTACATAACACAAATATTTTCTAACAATTCTCATTTTAAAGACAAATTTGGAAATATTACAAAATATTCTGAAACATAGGCCTGACCTGGACAATTAATTCTAGAAATAGTGAAGGGTGGTGTGTTGTGTTCTGAAACCAAAAACTGAAGTTGAGCCTCTCACGCAACTCAATTTAACTTCAACTTGAGCCAGGAGAAGAAGTATGGACACACAAGCTTAAATATTAGAGCTTTAACAAGTTGAAGAAAATGTATTTTAATTATTTAATTGAAGTAAATATTACTTCACCAGATCTGTTAATTACAAGAGTTTATTCTCTGAGTAGTTATAAAGCTACAGAAATGAGATTTCAGATGGTTTTGTATGTACAAGAGATTCAATCATTTAAACTTACTGAGAGTGATTTCAAACAGTCATTAGTACCTTTCTATTTAAAACAGCCTTTAGGGTCTTAGTAGACCTCTGCATATTGCAGGCTAAAAGAACAATAGCTTTAACAGCTTTAACACAGTGGTAGGCTGAGTATTACACGATGGTTTAATGAAATGTCTCTGTGCTTGGCTCTGGAAAAGATAACATATACACTTAAAGACAAACAAGAATTATTTGACGATATCTGGGGCCTATATATTAATTTCCTTCGGGATAAAGATCTGTCACATATTTTGAGCTAGGCTGGTAAAGAGTTGGCGATGTCTGCAATTGTGGTTGTTTTTGCAGAAACTGTTCTCGGGCAGAATATTTGTGATTAACAAATTATTTATGGCAATGTACTCCCTTTAGTTATTTTTATTTAATACAGACAGTAATAATTAAGCAACATTTTGTTTTTATTATTATATTTTACTTTTTTCCCCCTTCTTTTATTAATGTGTATATATGTACATGTGTATATCTTTTCTTTTTTTATCTTTCCTTAGAATTTATTTAATTGTAATTGTGTGTCTGGGAAAAATATTTAAAACTCAATAAACATATTGTTAAAAAAAAAAAAAACAGCCTTTAGTTAGGTCCTTTTGATATACAGTTCTGTCTCAGCAACAGAAAGACAGCAGCAGTGGATGTCCACACAGATTTAATGCGCTGACTGCTGTGAATCTTTTCTTCAGTGTCCCAGCTACAGTCGGAGATAGACAACCTGATGCAGCATCTCGTCTTCGCACAAGGAGTCAGTGAGGATCTGCGCTCTCATGTGAAAGCTTTGAAGAATGCCAAACACAAAGCGGGAGCTGAGAAGACCCAGGCTGAAGAACAGAAATTAAAGCAGGTGGACAGGACACAGCTAAAACATTACATCTTTTTAACTTCTGACTATATGAGGCTTTATTGTGTAATAATGTTGTTGTATTTTTTTTTTAATACTCCTTCGCTATAAGGATATTTATGTTGAGCGTCTAATGAAGGATCTGGAGAGGCTGACGCAGCAGGTAGCCATGTATGAGACCCAGGCGAGTGCCCAAGCAGAAGAGACACAGGCAGCCAAAGAAGCTCTAGCTGAGGTAACTGTAATATGGCATACAACAATATAAACCTGTCAATTCGAAAAGGTCCTTAATCACCAAATAAGCACTAATCATATGAGCAAATATTAATACTAGAAACATTTGGAAAGTATTGACAGAAGTGTGTAAAGCTTCAAAAATGTGTCACCACGTTCCAGCGCTTAATGACAAACCTGATAGCAAAAGTGACACATTATCATATCTAGTTGGGGATTTTGAATATCCAGGAAAAAACAGATTGTTAAGTACAGTCATTAAGAGTTACAAATAAAAGATATAAGTCACGTTTACAGCGTCACAGTGGTGATTTGGTTAGCACTGTTGTCCTTACATTAATGCTACCTCTGCTCTGCCATTGCCTACATGCTTGTTAGGGTAAATGGTGAATGGTGAAGTGAATGGTTGCCCCTCTCTTTGTGTCGGCCCTGTGATTGACTGGCAACCTCTCGAGGGTTTCCCCCGTCTCCAGCATAATGTCTGCTGGGATCGGCTCTAGCCCCTCGTGTAGATAATAATAATAATAATAATAATAGCTTTATTTATATAGCACCTTTAAAACAAATGTTTACAAAGTGCTGTGACAGACAAAGCAAATACAGCAACACGACAACAGAACAGAGATCAACAGACGGGCCAAACAGAGAGGGCAAAATTATAAAAATGCAAATAACAGGAATAATATAGATTCAACAGGCAGGTATGGAGAGGCAGTTCAATACAATGAAGGAAAATTAGTTTAAAATCAACCAGGAGAGAACAAAATTCTTGAACAAAATAATTGATAGAGGCCCAATACCCACTCTCTTTTTTTTTTTAGCTCTTTTCTGATCTCAACCAACTCCTGAGATAAACACAGCCTTTTAGCCACAGAATAGACCACACTTTGTCACAGCTAGTCACTTACTTTGGTTGCTTTATGACACTTTTTAGGGAGTGTACAGTCAGACTAGCAAACCTTTTTGAACAAACAGAAGAGCTGTCTAGAAGAGGCAAGAAGACTCTGGTGAGCTGCAGTATCAGGTGATCATTGTTTTGGACACCTTTGACATTAGTTATTGTTGCTGTATAGATATTGATTAATAGAAAATGAATCCAGTGTCTTTATAATCCAAACAGAACTAACAGTGATATTTGGTATAGAGACAACAGAGAGTAAAGCCTGGCAGTATATGTGATTATTATGACAGTACATTATTCATTTGACCTGATGGACTCCAGCCTCTCCCCACATAAAATGTACTCTAAGCAAATGAAAAACACTCGTTGGGAATGCTGTTGTTCCCTCAGGACAGTGTTGTACGTTTATTAATACGAAGGTACACCTTTGTTATACTAGGCATGGTGACACATTTTTGGCTGTTAAGGAAGTACATAAAAAACATCCTTCCAAAAATGTGTTTCTGTCACGTTCCTTTCTGTGTGCAGGCGGAGATGGAAGTGGAGTCTCTGGCAATGGCTCGTAGGCAGCTGATGCAGCAGTGGAGCAGCAGCTTGATGGGGATGAGGAGACGAGATGAGGCCTTCAGCGCAATGCAGGACGCCACGCGGTGAGAGTGAGGGCATCACGGATATTGACATGTAACTGAGTACAGCATGCATAAAATCAGCAGCATCTTGGATATTTTTCCTCTTTGCTGAGATTTGCTGTTTGGTTGGCATTTTTAAAGATCAAGCAAAATGTGAAATTACAGCAATTACATCAACTATGAATGTGACTCAGCTGTCCTCCCAGAGTCTGAAGATAATATAAAGAAAATACATCATCTGCACTAGACCCAATCGCAATGTTAGACTTAGACTGGAGGGTAAATTGTATTTTTGTAAAACAAGCAAATTCATTCTTTCCACCGTGTTTGTTTTTCCCAGTGCTGTTGCGCACCAGGGGATTTTGCTGGACAGAGAGATTGAAGGATACAAGAAATCTGTCGCTGAGGAGCAGGAGCAAAATGAGACACTAACTATGCAGCTCAACTGGTCCCAGATGGATGGTAACACCTCAAAGAAGCAGATCAGCCAGAAGCAGGCCCAGCAAGAGGCTTTGCATGCTCACTACACAACCTGCCTTCGCACTCTAAGGGAGACTGAGCGCACTCTCAGCAGGCTGACTAAGGTGCTTAGAGGACACAGACGTTTTGTTGTGACAGCACTGCAACCAATTTATCAAGATGTCCTAATTGCATTGTCTTGCCACTTTCTTTTTCCCCCTTGTCACCATTTCACTCTCCAACTTGTTTTGTTCTTCTGTCTCCTGTAGGAAACGGGCATCCACCACGTTGAAGTGAACGATCAGAGGAAGCACTTGGAGAAAGAGAGTGCTGTGCGCCTAGAGTTGGAGGACAAGATTATGACCAATATGCAGCAGAAGCTCACCCACAACAAGGCGGCCAAATACTCCGAAAGGCTCACCAGCAAGATAGCCTTGCTTAAGAAGGAAAAGGTAAATATAGGTTTTAAAAAGACGTAAAGTATTCAGGATGTTTGAGTGAAACACTCAGTGTGTAAAAAGCTTGACAGTCAATCAGTCAAAACGTACATGTTCTCAAATCTCTACAAGCAAATACCTCTTCCATAAAGTCTGTCTTTTAAAGTTTTTCGTCCTTTTTAGTGTCAACATAAGTTAGAACTTGTCTAAAAACATAACCAAAATTGTATATAAAAAATTTATATTATAAAACTATGAAGAATTTTCTTAGAACTTAAGTATAAAACTGGACCTCCATCAGTAAGGTACAGTTAACGTATATGTGAATATCAGGGTTCCCACTTGTCCTGGAAAACCTGGAAAACACTTGACTAATTTTCCAGTACTGGAAAACACCTGGAGAATGAGAGAAAAAGGAAAATGTCAAGGAAAATCAAGTGTTGTCCTGGAAAATTATTCCAACACTCCTACAGAGTTGGACATTTTCCTCGCCACACGTTAATAAAAGTAGCTATATGTTACATTAATCCACAACGCAGATTGAATGGAAGTCTATAGATAATGTAATGGCTCCGCCTCCCCCTCATGTCAAAAGTGGATATTTATTTACAATTTAGTTGAGAGGATGGAGCGAAAAGATCCTTTACAAAAAGAGAACAAACACCATGAGAGTAAATTGTGGCAACAACTATCAGGTAGACTTGTGTTTTCTCCTCAGTTTGAGGTCAGCACATCAACATACCTTTGTAGCGGTAGCTCACAGTGGGTGTGATTAGCCTTGTTAAAGACACTTAATATTGGTGTGGCACGATCACGGACTGTCATACCAGCTCGATCATCGCTGAAAATGTCCTGGAAAAGTCATGGAAAATTATCTCTGGAAAAGAGTGGGAACCCTGGAATATACTTTCATTCAGTTCAAAAGATTTAGCAGGAAGACCTCTCAGAATTGTCTACATTTGATCCTGAAAATCAAAAAGGAACATTGTGTCGCTGCTTCTGTTTACCATTCAGTCATTTAAAAAGAACAACTGTAAGGGGAAAACAAATACCCAGAAGTGCTGCTGCAATGTTAACTAGCTGTCATGTAATCCCCAGTCACAAATGTGTTGCTGCTTCTATTCTTGTTGAGACTGTAATGCTTAAGTTTACTTTTTGTCTTTTAATAAATAATTGTTCACCTTGTGTAGATAGTCTTCCCTCAAATATTTAAGCCTAATGGTCGACTTCTTTAAGCTATATTAAGAGATCCAAACACTTTGGACTTGAGATTGTCAGTCGTAGCACAAGCTGGAAAGTGAATCTCATGTTGAGTAAACAGAACTTTATGTACACAAATAAGAGGATGTTTCCTCTAAGAGGTCATGGAAAGCAGCTTCAGTTCAGTGCCAGAGGATACAAAACTGCAACAGAATAAAACCACATGTGCAATATGATAAACAATAGATGCTTAACAATATATATTTTTTTGTCCTGCTTGTCTTCTCTCCCTCCCTTTTTAGGTCTCTCAGTTGTGGCAGCTGGAGAACAATATAGCAGTGGTGGAACTGGAGAGGAGCAAGGTCATTCAACATCTGGAAAGCCTGGCTGTCATCCAGGAAGCCCTCGATGAAGAAATCTCAAAGAAAAACAAGATAACAACAACCATCCAGGCCAACATTTCTTCTTTTGTCACACTAATTGCTCAGAAGCAATCCAGCATAGCAAACTATGACAAAAAAATCGGTCAAATCGTCGCCAGCACTGGGGTGAGTTACTGACGGGGAAGCAGTAATCCTCTGTCTTCTTTTTTATGTGGAAGATGATTTGATAGCGATATTTTCAGTCAGGTATGAAAATGGCATGCTCTCTTTTTGTGATTTGTTCCCCAGCGTGATGACCTTAGTCCGATGCAAATCAAGATAGAGGCATTGATGTCACAGTCTGCAGAAGTGACTGCAACTATGGAGAGTGTCAAAAAGCTCTGGATGAAACGTCAGGAGATACTGGAAGAGCAGAGCCAGGAAATAGAAGCCAACAGCAAGGACATGTTCAAACTGCAGAAAGAGTACACAGGCATGCAGAAGGAAAGGATATGCCTGGAGAGTAAGTGTTCAAGTTTAAAGAAGCACACATTGACACACATAGGTGCATAGGATACAAGTATCGGTCAGTCATTCAAATAGAATTCATAATAAAGCCATCAGTTTGTGCTTTAACTCAGCGCCTTCTCAGTCTTACATATGGCCAGGGTTTTTTTTTATCGTTTATTTGAATCAGGGACAGTGTACAAAAAAAACATTAGTCTCAGAAGAGAAGAGATGCTTTGTACCAGATTTAGCTAGCTAGCTAATTTCCATCTGTTGTCCCTGGGCAGATGATGGCAACAGCAAAATACAAATCAACCAGTCACACACACACACACACACACACACACACACACACACACACACACACACACACACACACACACACACACACACACACACACACACACACACATTTCATAAGAGAGAAGAAGGACATCGTACAATTTACAGACATTAAAACATTATGTACAAGTTTCCCTGAGAGATCTAAAAGGTTGTCGAGATGACACATTAATGCTGACAAGACTGGTTACTTAAAATCCGTTTTTTGACTTTCTGGGTGAAAGTGCAGAAGTTTGTGATGCAAATCAAGATTTCAGATTAAGTTTGATTGTAGTCACTTCCTGGTAGTCACTGTAATCACTCCCAAATGAACATACAGTTATTAAAAAGCAAAGTAAGTATTTCAAATGTTTGAGTTTTTAGGCTTTTGAAACTATTTTCTAAATATCAAATTTAGAATATCTACAAATAAACTGATTATCCAAGCAGGGCATATAACTGAGTTTCCATGAACACAGTGACAAATCTGGTCAGTCGTGGTGGAGATTAAGATTGAAAGCCATATGCACAGGTTATTTCTGTGTTGTGAACACCTGGCATCAGAATAGCATACACGGTCAGAATGGAGTGTACATGTTTACAGTTAGATTTAAAAAAAACATATTTTTCAGAATAAATCTTTGGTTCTTTTTTCTTTATCATGACATATTGTCTAAAAAAAAAGTTTGGAAGTTTCGCCATGTATGGAATTCTTAAAATGGAAAAATGTGTAAGAACCCTGTAAGCTACTATTAAGCCATCACCAAACCCACCAGGTCAGGTGGAAGTAGAGCATCGTGACAAGATGGAGCTGGAGAAGAATGCAAAGACGCTGAGAGGCGACCTGCTGAAGCTCAACACTCTGATCAGCAAGAACGGACAGCTCAGTGTTGCACTAGAGCAGGACAATGAACTGATGGAGACAGACTTCCTGCACAGACTCAAGGCATGTCAGAACAGTTTCATTTCTCTCCAATGGTGTTCTTTTTTTTTTGAAGTAATACTTATTATGTCATATAATGTCTTAAGGAGGCTGAGCGGGATTCTATCAAGATGCAGATGAAACACGAGAAGACCCAGGAGGAAAAAGAGAGACTCCTTAACAGTCTGCTAGAGGCCCAGTCAGTCACTTCTACATTTATTACAAGTTGATTTAGATTACATGTCTAGTATTCAACTTGAAGAAAATCACATGCTCCACAAGTTAACAAGGAAATGAAATGTGTGTTAAATGTTGCTGATTTGAATCATGTCTGCTGCTCTTATCATTCAGATTTGATCATTTGTCCTGGCTCTTATCTCCATTCTGTTTTCTCTTGCGTTCCCTTGGTTGTGTGTGTGGCCAATAGGCAGCAGATTATGCTGTGGGAGAAGAAGATCCAGCTTGTAAAAGAGACACGTTCTGCCGTGGACATAGATTTGGGTCAGGGAGACTTCCAGATGATGAAGACTGAGATACACCGTATGGAGGTAAAGCCTTAAACATCTCTCTGTTTGTTCCTGAATGTATATGCACAAAAAAGACGTGTTACTGAAGACTTTGAGGTCTTTTTTCCTCTGTGATCCTTTGAGAGATCCCGCAAAATGAATATGAACAAGTTTGACATATAAGTGAATACAATGAATGGTAAGTGTTTTATTGTATTTGGACTGTAGTGCTGATATGTGGCCCTCCCCATTGTGAATGGATTTCCATGTGTTTAATTTACAGTGTTGTCGATGCAACCTCTAAGGAAGGTTCCTAATGTTTCATAATGAAGACAGGAGCCTCTCTGTGTGGAGTTCTCTATGTGCTTGAGCTTGTTTAATAAATGTGTTCACTCTATTCAACGTGTTTTGTTGTGCAGGTACGACTCAACCAGCTGATGAAGCAGCAGGAGCGACTGCTCAGAGAAAGTGAAGCGACAGTGGCAAGGAGGGAGACCATTGTGCTGCGCAGGGAGGCCATGGTCCACACTTCCATCAAACAGAATACAAAAGGCGAACTAAACCGAGCGATACAGTGCCTGCAGCGCAAGATCCAGGACACACACAAGGTATAACACTGCCACTTTCCGTTTCTGCATATGGGCCAGATTCATTTTTATTTTTTAAATGATCTTACATGGCGTATGTATCATTTCAGCATGTAGTCGAGTGTGAGCAGGTGATCAGGGACCTACAGGAGAGTCGGGTGATTCTGAGTGACAAGCTGGCACAGCAGAAGCAGCAGCTGGTAGATGTCTGCAGCTTCAGCTACATTCTGGAGCCTGACTTTGTAAATCTTCAGGACACCAAAGACAGTGTAAGAAGCGTTTTCTGTCACATGCACTGCATTACAACACATTTGGTCTTTCCACCATGTAGTTGACAGTAGATGTGTGAAAGAGGGGGAGTGTGTATTTTTTATTTTATACTGCCTTCTTTTGTGTCTCTTTACTATGCAACCTCTTTAGTCCGCATTGGATTTTACAATTCCTTTTTACAGTGTTCACAGTACACGCTAAGATAATCTTTAATACTTTTTCCAATCTTAAAATTTGAAAAGGTATTTCACCAAAGACAAAGTTATTTTATTTTTATCATACAGTAAGAAGCTTGATTTTCACAGAAACACCTCAGACCTTAAGGGTCAGGAGATCCAGATCTTGGTAGTTGAGATGAACACTTAGACCTTTTAATATAGATTTAAAATGATGAATAATGATCTCTACAACTTTTATTTGGTCCAGTATTGACTTTGTCTCGATCTTAGAGACATTTTAAAGTAATCCAGGCTTGGCTAAGAATGAAATGTTTTTGACTTTTTTGAATTACAGTTTTCACCCCTTCCTCTGACCGTGTCTCCCTTTCCCTTTCTCTCTCTCTCTCTCTCTCTCTCTCTCTCTAACAACAACTTGAAAACTGTTCAAGAAGCAGATTTTTAGATGTTCAATTGTAACTCTCAATAACTGAAATCAAAATTTTAAAGTATAACATTTAAATTGTAATGCAAATAATATTTCACAAATCAAGTGTTTGTGATCCACTTGATGAAGCGTAAACTAATCTAAGACTCAACCAGAGCAGTGCTGAATAACCCTGTATGATACTTCACATTGAGACAAGATGTGTGGATTAAAAACAGCTCTGCGCCTGCGTTCCCAGGTCAATCAGAATACAGTCATACCTACACACTCCACAGAAATTCATTGAAAGTGGAGCTACATGTCTCAACACTAATTCATCAGAATAAAGTATAAATGAACTTCTCAGAAACTCAATGGAAACTCATACTGTGGATTAACATTAATATTTCCCATCATTGCTCTCTGAATCACATTTGAAAATCTGTATACAGTATATATTATATCAAGTGCATACATATGTCGTATATGATCATAGAAACCAGTATTTTGTGTTTTTGTAAAAATGAACCAAGAGTAATTAATAATAATCTACCTGTAATTATATCAAATCAGTTGTACCATTTGAGTGCAAATACAAATGTACTTTCAATAGTATGGGCTTTTATGCAGTATTATAGTTCCACAGTTTCCACTTCTAACGAAAATAAAAGTTGTCATTTAACATACACATTATAGTTATGAGTCATTATTGGGTTAGGCTACTGAAGAAATAAATACATGGTGTGTCACTCAAGTCAGTCCACAGAAAATTGTTTTGCAGGTGATTCTTTTATAGCTTTATGTTGTGGTGAGCATGTTTACTTAAACATTTATCTGGGTCATGTGGAAATTGCTGTGGATTTATTGTCATGTGCATTGCTGTTTCCACTCATGAAAACCACTCCCACACATCAAGAATAGCTCCAGAAGGTGGAGCACTGTTGTGAATTTTCCAACAATTAAAAGAAGAAAAAAAATACAATAATTTTCATCCCCTCTGTCCACATAGAATCTGGCCCACCTAGTAACTCTTCAAAGCAGGACCAAGAAGCTGCAGGGGTTGAGTGTGGGCGGGTACCAAGCCCTATCCACCAGTGAATCCATCGACGTTGCTACGCAAAGCAAGATGGAGCGCATGCACACTACCAGCGCCATCTTGCACCGTGTGTGTCAGGAATTCCCTCAGCACCAGGGGGCGCTGCACAGGCTGTTACTGGCACTGGCAGCACGCACACAAGTCCTGGAGCAGGAGATGTCCTGAGAGTGTGGAGAGGATGTAGACATGACTGTGAGTACAGCAGAAGAAGTACAGAGAATGGAAGAGGAGGACATTGTAGGTCAAGATAAGAGAAACACATGACCTTCAAAATATTAAGATCTCGTCTATTTCATTGTTTGTGTTTTTTTGTACTTTTGCTGTTAAACTGATTGTGAAACAAAGGAATAAAATGAAGAACTATTTGGCATGAATGCAATACACTAAACTGACTATAATGTGTCACTTTTCAATCCGGTTGCCAGTATAGAAACTGATTTGTGGTTACATAAGTGAGGGGGATGAGTATAAAGTGGAAAAAGCACACTAATTTTTTGTGATTGTAATTTTTAATTACACTGTGGGGAATTAGCATTTTGATGGTCAATAGACACCCTGCCTTGAATGGTAAATGGACTTGAGCTTATATAGCGCTATTATATAGTCTTCTGACTACTCAAAGCCCTATTACACTGCATGTCACACCCACACATTCACACACTGATGGTGGTGGTCGCTATGTAGTATCATCCATCAGAAGGAACTAATCTCATTCATACACCGCCAACGAAGCAATTCAGGGTTAAGTGTCTTCCCCAAGGACATATCGGACATGTTGCCCAGCTGGGGATTGAACCCTCGACCTTCCGGTTGAGAGATGACGACACAGTGTGTAAGTAGCACCTGCAAAGATGTAATTGATTGACATTAGTTGTGTCTTAACAGTTACATTTAATGATTGAGAAGCCATCAGAGCACTAGTGTGAAAATCTGTTCCTTAAAAAAACAATATATTTACTGTGGATGGGGACGTGTATTCACTTTGCTACTGAAATAAACAAATCACACTTCTCCTCTCTGGCAACAGAATTTCAAGTTTGTTATTATTATCCATTGCCATTACGACAGCATCATGATGCAATGACTGCATTGCAAAGCATAGAGACTGAACATTCACTTGCAGTGACTTCAAGTAATGTAAAACATCTCTGACGAGGGTGGCCAACAAACCATATCAATGCAATGTTGTTCAACTGGCTCTTCAGAATACATGCTTCCTGGAAGCATTATCATGTACTGTCGGGACTTTCCTCAGCTCCTCTGGGCATCAAACAGAGGTTCTATGTTCCAGAAGACAATTGTTCAATAACATTATAAGAGATTGTTGAGCGCTTCAGTTTACATTTCAAAAGAACTTCATTAGAAAAGAAATAGACTTTTGTTGTGCAGTTTGTATGAAGTTAAAAGTCTGTGGTACACACCAGTGTAAAAGTAACAGCTGTAACATTAAGTATAACATACCTACATGTTCATATTTTTTGACACATTGATGTGAACATAAAATCCTTTGAGAAATCCTGTTGTGTAAGAAGGACAATACGATTGGGAACATAGAACCCTGGGAACATGGACATGCTCTCATCCTAACTGGCACCATGCATGCATCCCTGGAGCGTTGCTAAACAAGCAGCTAATAGAAATAACAGCATCTACTCTTACTAAAACTCTCTCCCACCCTCCCATTGCCTTACTATCTAAACCCAAATTTTAACTCTGGGTAACCAAATCCCTACTATAAGGCCGTGGCTCAGTGGTAGAGTTGTCACTCTCAATTCAATCCCCAGCTTCTACAACCACATTGGTCAAGACACTTAACCCCAAATTGCTTTTGCTGCTTAGTCTGTGATGTATGAATGTATGAATGGGATTAGTTACTTGTGATGGTTACATAACATAGCAATCTCTGCCATCATTGTGTGAATGGGTGCTAATGGGTAGGTGTGACAGAAGACAAAAGAAGCGCTATACAAGCTCAAGTCCATTCATCATATCATCTAAATGGATATGGGAGATTATCTCTGTCTGAGCTTTACTACTAGATCAGTAAGTGTTGTAGAGGATGTACGTGATGTACTTGAGTGAAAATATGACACAAAACCAACTCCTAGTATTGTGAAGTGCCTATTGACTCCATATCAGGTCTTGCCAAATGCAGTGTTCAGCTGTTTTGATCCCATTAGTATGAGTTCCTTTTCAGTGACCTGCATATTAAAGGTGAGGAACAATGCATGAATGCTCTCAGTCTGCCATTCAGCAAAAGTTACACAGTAAGCCTTAGGGAGTTATCCAGTTTAAACATTCACCACTCAACCTCTGTCATCATAAAAACTACAGCTGCTTGTGAGTTAATGAAAAATGATTTCCATTTACATGATCAAACATACTCTGTGGGAAAATCCATAGGGTTCATTTGCCCTCGTTCTGTAATGTAAGAGATAAGCAAGCCCTATGTTGTTGAAAGAGGCGGTTCAGGTTACAGAATACTGGCTCTTGCACTTCAGACAGCAATAGTTTAGAGTTTCTTATACAGTATGAGAAGCAGGTGCAGGACAATCGTTTATTGAATCACTTGTAACTTAAATGAGCTTCATGTGTCCATCATCAGGGAGCCATGAGGTTGTGCTTTAATATTTCACATTACATGTGACTTCTTTTTGAGTCAACCCTTTCAGTGATTAGTAAGGTGTGTCATGACTATTCATGGACATAATGTTTAGTAAACATTTGTGTCTATCTTGCCATAATATAATTTTGTCATGTCCAATCATTTATCCTAACTCAAGGTTCAAGGTTGTCTTTATTATCCCTGCTAGAGGGCAATTTGTTTTGCAGTCAGCAGTAAAACACACACATAAATACAGCCATGAGCAAACAACATAGAAAGGACAGTAAATAAATACAATAGATCAGAAACACAACACACAGTTAGTGGTTTAAAAAGGTGATGGCAACAGGAACAAATGAGTTTCTCGTCCTCTTCGTCCTACATGCTGGCAGACTGACTCTGCGGCCTGACGGCAGCAACTTAAAGTCCTTGGACAAAGGATGACTTTGATCTGCCACGATTGACTGAGCTTTCTTAAGACACTTTGTTTTATATAAATAAGAAAGGTCAGAAAGGGACGATCCTGAGATTCTGACACACAGTTTGACAATGCGGCACCATGCAGAATGTTAAAACTGATTCAATAAAACAGGAATAAAACATCTTCATAAAAGTGCTGTCAACATTAAAATTCCTAAGCTTCCTCAGAAAGTGCACACGCTGATGAGCTTCTTTGCAGACAGCTTCAGTTTGGAGCTCGAAGGTGAGTTTTTCATCGATGATAGTCCCAGGTACTTGCATTGGTGCACCACCTCAACAGCCTGGTTGTTAATAAAAACAGGGGAAATGACAGAGGAAATCCCTCTGTCACTGACTACAGAAAGGGATAGCTGTAGTCAAAACTTTTATAATGGGCCCCGGAGTAATTTTGTATATCAATGTGGGCCAAGGCAGTGGGAAAGGCTGTTCTAAAGTATTTGTGTAAATTATCATATTTCCTGTAACTAGTGAGTTCACTGTGTTCTACAGAATGTCATTCGGGGACTTTATTCCAGTGCATCATGTTGCCATGACGACAGCTTTAATTTGTTTAAGTACCGGTACATTATTACAGACCATTGAAAAAATAACTTTACCACTTTACCCCCCCCCCCCCACACACACACACACACACAGACACACACACACTCATTATTTCCTCCTGTAACAGACTTTGTACGTCACAGCTCAGTGTTTGCTCCTGTCAACAGTGTTGTGTGTGTGTGTGTGTGTGTGTGTGTGTGTGTGTGTGTGTGTGTGTGTGTGTGCTTTGCTGTGATTAGGAATTATTAAAGCAAATGTGCAAACTGTGTAACGTTTAGGTCTCAGTGAGAGTCATTGTTCATGTGTACCACTGGCTCTGGCTCAACAACGGACAAACATCATGTTTCATTTATACAATCAGGCAGATTTGATCTGATTTAATGTTTGATATGCTTTTTAAAAGTAAACTAACGTTGCAAAGCCGCCACTTCAGTCAGAAGTCTAAAGAAGCTTTTTGAGCTGCATCACAGAGGGCTTGCTTTACAGGTTTTGCCACACACCCACAGATAAACACAGAAACACGCGGTGTCACAAACACCAACAGGGCGTGGAAAGAGCCTTGTCCTTGTACAGTGCTCCTCTGCATTTTGCAGTCAGTACAGATTTTCTCACTTCCAGGAATGAGTCTCTGACAACTGTCTTTGCAGCTAAGGGTGTGTGTGTGTGCGTGTTTGCTCCAGCTGAGCCCACTGACTCAGCAGAAGGCAAGCCCCTCTCTCTTTCAAGTCAGGATGTCAGAGGAGTGTGTTCCTGAGGGTCTAGACCTCAAAGAGCGGTGCGAGGAGGAACTTTGGGAACTGATTAACGACAACAGACACCGGATCTCCCTCGGAGTGCAGCCATGCAACTTGATCCCGTACCTGAGGCAGGCCAGGGTGCTCAGCGAGATGGACCAGGACGAGATCCTCTCCTGCCACAATCTAACCAACCGCAGCATGAGAACCAGTGAGATTTCTGACTCTGCTCTTTTAAGACATTTAAAGCCATGGCGTTATGGAGTACTGTTGTCTGCCTCAATGTGTTAATGACAAGTGGATCATCTTTGTCCTTTTTTTGTTTTTATTGCGCCTACTGATGCACTTACTGATTTATTAAGAAAGACTTTTGAATCCATTTTTAATAGAATAATTCCAACAACACTTCAGAGATTAGAACAACTATAAATCACATACACCGACATGTAATGTTGCTTGTTAGAATTTTAAAGTGTCATGGCCTGCTTTTACAAAATATTCAAGTGTTTACTTATGATTATTGTACAGTATGATTGTTGCTTTCTCGCCCAAGAGAAATGAAAAGGCAGTGCTTTTACTTCTGATAGGGACGATAAAAGAGAAAAACATAGCTGTCCCCCTGTTGGTTTGCTTGTAGTCATATCTTTAGAGGAAGTTTGTTGACACAAAGGTTGAAGTTTGAGCAGGATGGTGTTTTATTGACCTCAACTATTTCTAGGCTATATGTTAGATTTGCTGAGGACCCAGGGGAGGAATGGCGCTGTGGCTTTGCTTGAGAGTCTGATGATCCATTACCCGATCCTGTACACCCATGTTACTGGACAGAAACCCAGCACTGAGCCTTCAGGATTCAGTGGTCAGTGGCTTAAAGTCTTCCTGCAATGTGAGGGGAAATACTTGTTTTTATTCAAACTATATGTCTGACCCACATTGCTCTCTTTGCAGGCCTGATAAAGTACTCAGAGCTGACAGAGTATCTGGTCAGAGCTGTTACAGGGATGCAGAAGGAGCTTCAGCAGGCACGATGTGAGGCCGGCAGGATGAGTGCACGCTGTGCCTCCCTGGAGTCAGAGATTGGGCAGATAATGGCGCAGGAGGAGAAGTCCAGGTGCCTTCAGTCCGAGAATGAACGCCTGCGGAGGCACCTGTTCTCTTTGCAACATGATGTCACTAAGCTCAAGGACGAGAAATGTGACTTGTATATGCGCTACACAGCGGCCATTGAGGAGAAGTCAGCTGTGAACATGCGCCTCCATGACCTCAACCTGCAGGTCAGTTTTCTTTCTCAACAATATTTTTTCTCACCTCAGGGAACTCGTGCACACATAGAATGAGTTTCTTCTTCCTGAAACACAAAGCTGTGATCTCAGGGGAAAGTCCTAAGAAGGTCAGCGTGAAAGAACTGAAATGTGAGCAAGGTAGATTGAGGGTAATTTAGAGCACAATTCCATCATCATTGTGAACACAGCCTGTACAAACTCTTGTCTGTTTTTCCCTTTTGAAGCTTATTTTGAGAGGCTGTTTACATCCATCCAGGGTGATCTGATAACAAGTGAATAACCTTAAGGCTAGGAGTGCACCACATTACTGTAAGTCCTAAGAACAGATTTTGATACAACAGCTCAGACCACACACAGAGGTGGTCCTCATTGTTTTGGAAGTGTAAACCATAGACTGTAAAAATAAAATAATAATAAAATAAAGAAAGAAATAAAATAAGAAATAAAATAAATAAAATAAGAAAATAATAATAAGAAAATAATAAATGCTCATGCGTCCTGTGCAGCATTAAGATCCTCCCCCTCAATTTGAGAACTGGGACAACAATGCCACCCCCATCACGTGCGCTCATTTGCATGTGAAGCGGGCATGTGGGTTCTGATCTCAAGTACAGGTACTCAATGAAATGTGTTGTCAATGTTAAGTGTAAACACCTGTAAATAAGAGTTATTCACTTGTTATCAGATCACCCATGATGGATGTTTACGCAGGGTGTAAACAGCCTTTGAGAAAGTGACATCATCTGAGTAATCTGGGCTTTGGCTCAGATACAACATATGTATAATGTAGTCCCAATGTAACAGTATCATTGACTGTGGATGTAACCAATGGAACAGGCCGAATTGACAAGTGTTTTTTCACAACATAATTAGATTGAGGAGCTTACAATTTGAGGCCTTGTGGGTTTTTTTTTTTTTAATGATTACTAAAAAAACAATAGTTGAAATATTCTTTGAGTACATGAGTGGTGTTGTTCTTATGTGACGGCAGGTGTATCAGCTGCAGACAGAGCTGCAGAAGGCAAAAAAAGAGAGTGAGTTCCAGCAGCGGCGCTCGCTTAGGCGTGCCTCTCAGCCAGCCTATCCACGACTACAAGAGGGAGTTGGGTCTCTGCCCTGCCAGCTTGTGAAGGTGAAGCAATGAGAATGATCAATTCTGCATTAAAAAAACTTAAACAAAAAAAACCCCTCTGACGTAGTTCCAGATGTCTCTTATGCAGTCTTGTGTGATGTCATGTCTCTGACAGGCTGGTCGGGACATCCTTGCCCAGGATCTGGCTGAGGCCATAGACAGCCACGCGGAGCTCGCAGAGCAGCTCAGGTGTTACAGAGAGGAGAATGAAAAGGTGTTTAATGAAAACAAAGGGGTGTGTATGTGCTTTTTTTTTTTAGGTTTTAGTCTCCAGGGATCAGGAAATGCTATGCAAATTCTGTATTTCTGTGCTATAGAGAGCCTTTGACTATCTCACTGTGCCTTTTTGTGCAAAAAGCCTCGTTCAGAGGAACATTTGTGATTCAAGTCATTTCTTGAGCTTCCAGTTTGGTGCTTGTTGACTTGCTCATCAAACATTCTAAATCCTGTAATATATCTCTGAAATACTGGAGGCCACTATTGTTTCTGTATGTTTTTCAATACAGCTTCTGGATCAGAAAGAGTGCCTGAGCCTCCAGGTGCAGCAGCTGACCCTGGACTGTAACTTGCACCAGCAGAAGAGCACTGTGATCCAAAACCAGATCAGGGAGCTGCAAGCGGAGAGAGACCAGGCAAGGAAATTATTAAAACCTCATCCTTCAAACTTTACTGTCGAGCACTTGTTTGGATTTTAGACGGTGCTGTTTGGTTTCTCTTGACTGTTTTATCCCAGTCATGTGTCGGTGTGAAGTCGTTTATTTGTCTTGGCCGGGATCACTGGTTAAACGAATCTCCTAGAAATTCTATAGTCAGAATCAGAATCAGAATCAGAATCGGGGTTTATTGCCAAGTACATTTACACATACAAGGAATTTGACTTGGTGTATCGGTGCTAAACAATTAACAAGGAAATAAAGCAGAACTAGCAACAACTTAAATAATACAGAATAAGAAGATATTACAATATATGAAATAGAATTTAAAAATGTAAAATATAAAATATAAAAAATAAAGATAAAAAACACAAAATGTACAAAAGGGGTAATGTAGGAGCTGTGCAGTGAACAATGAGAAAAAATCTTAGTGTGTGTAACTACTCACAGAATGCATGTAAGGAAGATACATTTTTAAAGTCCAAGTAGTCTTTGTCGATGAGCCGTTGTTAAAGTCACCTCTTACAATCACATAAATCATTTTGTTACATTGTCCTTTTGTTGCTGTCATGCCAAAATGATTCATCTCAAATCCAGTTTCTAAATTGTTTAGAAATTCAACTTCATTGATGTCAAGAGGAATGAAATGCATAATCCACCCACACCCTAGAACCTCCTGAGCTGGTGAAAAGTCAGTCACATACTGTACATAGGAGTAACCAACAACACTAGACTATGATTAGACCTCACAGCCTGTTATTAATGAATGGATCATGCTCTCTTGTGTGTTGCCACATAAACATGACGTGTCATTGGTAAACCTGCTCTTTAAAACCTCTCATTCCAGGAAAAGCAGGGTTTGTTTGATGAAGGTTTGTCTGTTGCCAATAAATGTTTGTTTGCAAGTTAGACCGTGTGCGGGAGTTTACCATGAAGCTTTTGATGAACACATTGTTCTCTTACGCACTTGTCTTATGAAATGGAAGTACAAAGGGTTTTTTTCCTACTTAAAAAAAAAAAACATTTCCTAAATTAAAAAAAGGAATCCAGAAGCAGAACGGCACAATGTTCTGCTATAGTCCTCATGTTAAATAAAAGAATGTACCCACAGGTATGTTCAATTCATATTTGACATCAACTTTAGGATTATGTGATGCTACATGCTACATGTTTGTGTGAGAGTTTTTCTTCCTTGCACCATAAACAAAGAGAAGAATATGATTCAAATTTTGTCTCTATTTTATTAACCATAGCTGACTGAAACACGTGTTGTCAGGCTTGTTGTCGTCATGGCATTTTGGTGATGTGTATCGTTCTTTGTAAAAAAATAAAAGGACTGCATGATGTTAAGTACGGTTGTTTTGGTTTGTAGGCATACCTGTCCAGAAACGAGGCACAGTCAGTGATTGCCCGTGTGTTGGCTGAGAAGGACACCCTAAGGTGTCAGCTGGTGGAGCTCCAGGAGCGCGTCTTTAGCCTGCAGGCCAACCATAACTCCAGAAGACAGCAGAGCTGTGATGTAATATCTCACACAAGCACAGAGCAGCACACACGTTAACACAACAGGAATGATGATATTAACACAGTCATCTATGTTATTGTGAAAGGAGTCTGAGGCAGAGTGGGAGAGCCCAAGATCCAGCTTTGAAGATTCCACAATCAGACCGAGACGTAGACTTTGTCGTATGGATGCAGTCAATCCCATATCAATGAGTGCCAGCAACTCAGAGGTATGTGTGTTTTTTGAGTTACAAGACCAGCCATGGGGGGACGCTTTGTGATTTTTAACCATGCATCTATTATCAAATGCTCCTCAAACATCCGAAACATTTTTTTTTAAAGCTTAAACATCTTTGTTTGGAAATTGAAACATTATTTGTGTGACTTTTTCCAAATATATGCTTTGGCAGTAAGAACCAATGGGCTTAGGGCTGAGAAGTACTGAAAGATGAACCAACACTATGTTGCCTTGTGTGGGGGTTGCAGGAAGTTGAAGTTTGACATATTTTAGAAAATCAAATTTGTTTGTATGTGTCACTTTGGTATTAAAATAAGTTAATTTGGCGTTGAAATAAAAAACAATCACAATCAGAGAATGTGTCTAAACTCAACATTTAGGCTTTCATTGAGACTTGGAATAAAACATTGAGGTGACAGTACTTTTAACACTAGCTTTTATCAGACAGTATATTTACTTTTTATTATTATAAATAGTTTGACATGAATTGAGAGTACATGTTTACTATGTGTATCTTTCTGTGTGTAGTGTGAAGATCCTACAGCAGGAAGTGTCAGATCAAATATCGCTGACCCCCCTGGTTTGGAGTCTCTGCGTAGAAGGGAAGAAGAGCTCCATGCTGACAGCAGGTCTGTATCTTTCTGCATTAGTATTATAGTATATGTTACTGCCATCTGCTCCCCATGCTTTTTTTTTAAGTACAATGTGAATTTTCAAAAGACAAAGCAGTCGGCTGTAAGCACAACACAGGAATAACGACATTAAGGTGTCCTGACTTCTGCATTCCTCTCTGTTAACATGACAACACCAGTTTCAAATAGATGATTTATTTACAGGATGGAAAGAGGTTTAAAGAGGATGAGATCATACAAAGTTTTAGAAGAGGAGAGAGTTTTAATAAATAAGACAAGTACGTTTTGTAATACTGTTCAAAGGAGCTTTATGTGTATTACATTGTTCAAAGTGAAAACAAGGACTCAGCCTCGTCAACAATAAAGTTTGAATAATCTCTACCCACTAAACTTGTACCTGGGTTGAAGAATGGCTTAGTTATGTAACATTTGGTATTCACTTTTGGCTTTTAAACCAACATCATCAGTTTATGTGGTCATGATTTTTTTAAGTTTATGAAGCTAGTATCTTTTTTTTTTCTTCTCTTGTAGCTTGGAAAAAGCTGAGACTGATTCTCTTACGGACAGCTTTGAGTTTATTCTCCATGGTTTGTACAGAAAAATCATTAACTATCTTTGCGTGAGTGTCTCTATGTGTTTGTGTGCCTGTGTGAGTGGGTGGGTGGGGGGGAGGGGTGGTGTTTCTGACCTTCATTATCTTAAGATATCGATGTTGAGCCTTTGCCAGGGCTGTAAAGTAACACATTATTCCTTAGCATGTTATTACTGAGAAAACAAACCTGATGCCAAATCCTTCAACAGCCTCTCTTTTGTTTAGTGGGGAATGAAGATGAGCACACGCCCAGGCTTTCCCCTGCCACTGTTTCCAGCCCTGATGGGTGAGTTTGTCCACAGAATCAACATTGTTAAACCCAATATTATATACGGCTTAATACAGGATTACTTTCAAATGTCAACCACATTATTTCAGCTCTTTCAAGTTTTTCGGCTTCTCTTAGACACAGCAGTGCCGTGAACAAAATGCTAACATCTATTTGCAAACAATAATCATGTAAACAGCAGTTGCCTGTCAAGTATAATATCGTCCCCAACTTAGTTAAGCATGTTAGTATACTATGTTAAAAAGCACAGAACACAAAGTACATGTGAGGCCGGTGGGAGTTTAATTTGTTTCGAAGCATTGGTGGAAATCCATAAAGTACAATCTGTCATCCAACAAATCTTTCATTTGCTACCTGCAAAACAAGAAAAAGTAGATGCTCACCAAAGTCAGGATGGTTTATCCTCTGGGCTCAGTAATACAACTCACTTTTATCCCGGTTGTTCAAAGATCACCTGATCCAGGTGCAGACCTTTAAAGTCCCTGTAAAGTCAAATCAACAATACGTCTCCAAGCACGCTAAATATGTTGCAAGAAGACAGCTTTAAACATGTGCAAAGACTGAGAACTATGTTTGACTAATTTCCGATTTTTGACAGTTATTACGGTTTTCTCAAGTTTCAGTTCTAGGTTTTCATGGGCGGAGCTAAATCGGGTCGTTATTATGTAGATCAGCCCTTCATCTGAACGTTCCATGCTAAGCGATATAAAAACACTGAGCTCTGCAGCATTTTCTAGCTAACTATGCCCTCTGCAACAAGTGTATCTTCCCTGGATTACCAAATCTGGTTTAGCAGAGCTGTAAAGGAAAGACTACATAGTTTGCCCACAGGAGTCGCCAAAATCTACACACATTGAAAGATCCATATGGCTGCTTTAAGTTAGAAAGGTAATGTTTGATAGTGGAGCTTTTTGGTGAACATGTATCTGGAAAACTCTAATTTGGACCTCATCTACTTTGTCACTGAAGCAAAACAGCATTCTAGGGCAAAATATAGTTCAAATGAAGTCTTTAAAAGTATCCACTATCTTGTAGAAGTGTTGTTTTGTTTTAGCAATTTAAAAGTTTTCTTGCATTTTTTCTTTGTAATCCAGCCTCATCAGGACGACCCAGATGTTGTAGATGAAAGTTATCATAAACCTACTCAAAAGTTTTGAGCAACACAAACTGGAGGTTTTTGTTTGGATTAAACCAGGATTGGATTACTTGATCCTTTTAGATTACGTTGTCCTTTTTTTCAGTTGAAAAAACTGGATTTCAATTCCTATTTGATAGTTTTAATCCCGTTAGATTATTGTCGAACCACTGGGCCCTTGGGACCATGAGTAAGTATAGAAAATAAAAAGGCAATCCATCCTGTCAGTCTTATTTTTCATGCCACACGAGCATTTGTAAAGCAGCAAAATAATAAGTAGTAAAAATTGAAAAACATACACATACATTTCTTTTAAATGACCTCTTCAGGTCAGCCAGTATATTATCAGCTCAACAAGAGAGAACAGCCAACACATTGGAAATGATTGACTTATTGTACAAAATTATGTTTTTATTTTTGAATTAAAAATGACATGTTTCTTTTTATTGACGGAAATTACCATCTTTTAAAATTTTTTTAAAAAAAATGCCCGTAGCCTGTCTTTAATTTTTTCCCCTCATTCATTTCTCACCAGCCTGTCAAGAACCACTCCCCCTCCTTTCCTCATGCGATCTCGTCCAAAAGCACTCCGCGTGAATGCCAGAGTGCTCAGCTTCTCCTTCCAGGGGGAGGCGCTGCTCAGCCAGCTGGCCGTGGTCGGAGGCAATAAGACCGGAGTGTTTGTTCACCAAGTGACAGAAGGCAGCGCTGCCCATACTGTCGGCATCAGCCCCGGGGCACAGATAGTGGAGGTTGGTCTGAGTGTGTTTCTGATCACTGCAGTAATCTTATCCTGTCCACTGTGAAGACTTTTTTTATTATCTTTTTGCTTTTTCTGCAGGTGAAGTACGAGCACAACCAGAAAGCTCTTCAGATGGTCCTGGAGGATTCTACTCTGGAGGAGGCTTTGTGGGCTCTTGGCCAAGTCACAGGCCTCTGTAACCTTTCCCTTCGGCACAGGCAAGACGGTATGTTCATCAGAATGTAGACACAATATGTTTCACTCCAAATGTTACTTCCAGCTCCAAAAACCTTTCAATTCTTTAAGTATAAGTTTTTCATTCTGAAACACATCAGGTAACCTATCATTTCTCATGACAAATCCAGCACAGTTGCACTGGGACAATTTGTGGTTATAGGCAAGGCAAGTTTATTTATGTCGCACATTTCAACAAGGCAATTCAAGTGCTTCACACAAGACATCAAAAGCATCATGACAGAGGAAAGAAAATAAACATTCAAATAGAACATTTAAAAATCACTGAAATTATTCAATCCTAACATATGTTCAAATAAAAATAATTCAAATGAAATAAATAAAGTAAAAATATAAAAAGAGTTAAAAGTTACAGTGCAGAGTTAAAGTTTAAAATCTTATTAAAGCTGTTTAATGAAAGGCAGCTGTAAACAGGTGTGTCTTCAACCTGGATTTAAAAGAGCTGAGAGTTTCAGCAGACCTGCAGTTTTCTGGGAGTTTGTTCCAGATATAAGAAGCATAGAAACTGAACGCTGCTTCTCTGTGTTTGGTTCTGACTCTGGGGACAGAGAGCAGACCTGTCCCAGACGACCTGAGCGGTCTGGATGGTTCATAATTAATCAGGAGGTCACTCATGTATTTTGGCCCTAAACCTTTAAGCGCTTTAAGTACAGCATAAATAACAAACATAAAAGGAACAAAATGAATGCTTTTGCACTTTGCTAATATAGTTTATTAGAGAAAATGTGCTTACACATGATGTGGATGTAAAATATGTGCACATGCAGAATCATAACACAGTGACTGTATCTTGGCACTGGCTGTGAAATACATGTTTTGGGCTTCAGCTGATTTGATGCCTGCAGTTTGTTTTTCTTGAGGCATGGCCAGCTGCTATGTGATGAATCTCATGTGAACTTGTGAGCTTGTTGAAGTTCAACAAGGTAAAATGTTGTTCAACCTGCTGCATCAGAGAGAGGGTGTTTTTTTGTGTTGGCATTTTGAAGAGGATATGTGACACAGGAATCTAAAAATGGAACAAGATTTGTTTTGGGTTTTTTAACTCTAAACAAGAGCGATAACTTTCTTATTTGGAAAAAACAAAACAAAACAAACACACACAACCAGAGCCACAGTACACATTTAGTGAAAAGGTAATAGAGTTCATCCTGTGTAAATAAAAGATACAAACACAGATTGTCCTCTGCCTTCTCAGACTATGAGGTGCTGCTGCAGAAACTGAAGAGCAGTCAGACATCATCAGGAGACTCCTTTTACGTCCGTGTCAACATGTCCTTCCCTGCCGGCCCAAACGGATCCCTGGCCGTGTCCTGCAACGACATCCTTCATGTGACCAACACACGACCAATTAACAGCGAGGACTCATGGCACGCCAGTCAAGTTCATCCCTGTCAGCTCCTGGCCCTCAAGAGCGGAACCGTACCAAACTATTACAGGTGAGTACACTGATGAGAAATATGCAGCAGATGTGTTTTTGGGAGGTGGCAGCTTTGGTAGAAAGTGAGAACTTGCAAGTCATTTTGAAAACACTGCTCAAAGTCCTGGGAACTTCTGCTTTCTGATGACACAGGGCACAAAGACTTCTGATCCGTATTATTGAAGAAATGAGCTTTCAAACGAAGAAGTCTCAAAAGGTGAGAATCATTGAAAATGCTACCGCCCTGCTGGAACTATCCAAAATAATAATAATAATAATACATTTTGTTGGGCGCTGGTGGCACAGTGGTTAGTGCGCGCGTCCCATGTATGGAGGCTGTCGTCTCAAGCGGGTGGCCCGGGTTCACCTGTGGCCTTTTTCCTGCATGTCATTCCCCTCTCTCTCTCCCTGATTTCCAAGTCTATCCACTGTCCTATCTCTCCATTAAAGACACAAAAAGCCCAAAAATAAATCTTATAAAAAAAAAAAAATAATACATTTTATTTATAAGCGCTTTTCAAAAACTCAAAGACACAAAGTTAAAAACAGAAAGAACAGCACAGTAAGACAGACTAACAGACATTGCAACATTACACACAAATCATAAAGATAACAACAATAAAGGTAAACTACAGAAAACAGGAAATACATCACAATCATACATTAAAAGCTTGTTTGAAGAGGTGAGTTTTGAGAGATTTGAAAGTAGGAGGCTCGGTGCAGTGTTGAATGTGTGTAGGGAGTGAGTTCCAGAGAGAAGGCTCTGTCCCCCCAGGTTCACTGGTGACGTCTTCCTTGGAATATTTCTTATTTTTGTGTCTCAGAATAAGGAGAAGGCGGTGAGGATCGTCAGCACCGGGCGACAGGGCAGGAACCCACTGTGGGTCAGTGTGGAGGATGAGAAGACCCTAGAGTCAGGTATAGTATGATAGCCTGGGGCAGCAGATTCAAAAACTACAAATGTTTTTTTAACTGTCTTATATCAACTGTTTGATAAAGACTTTTAATGAATGCACGTACCTTTCTCTCGATGTGAATCATTTCCTTTGCAGGAGATTCATCAGCATCTAAAACCTGCATGTCCCTCATGCCTTACACCCTGGTCACTCCACACTACCCACCCATCTGCAGGCCTGTCCTGCTGCTGCCCACCGTCCTGGGCCGCATCCTGGACAAGAAGCTGGAAGGATGGCAGGGCTTCCAGCTCTGTGAGCCTGGTGGGGAATTCAATGCTGTTATTTTTCTGAAATGATAGCACGTGTATTCATATTTCATATTTGTTTCTGCTGGAGTATAAGGTTTAGGTACACAGTAACACACTTCAAAGCACCCACAGATGAGTCTATTTTAATCACATGTTTGTGTATTGCTGCAAACCAGGAAGGAAATCAACTGTGTGTATAAATAGTGATTACATTTATTGAGGCTGTAAAGATGTTAAATGCTGTCCGGAAACCCTGCGATGATAAGGTGAAATGAAGGTTTGATGTTCATTGTCTGGAAGTTTAATAGTAATAACAAAGACAAATGTAAAGAACAGAAGACAAGAGGTCATGCAGATAGAGATCTAATCCAAATGTCTCAGATATTACACCAAACAAGATCATGTAGCTATAAATAATGATGAGCTTTAACATAGCTTTAAGGTCAATCATTGTGTGTGTTTTAATGAAAATGAAAGTATACATAACTCTATCTACATGATTAAAATGAATGACAACAAAGATGTTATCACCTCATGCCTTATATCTTGGATTCTCTCTCTCCTATCTCTCCAATCCTTCACTCTACAGAGATGCTAAACGCCAGCGAGCATGGAGCTCGTCTGCAGAGGTCTGAGATCCTGGAGGAGTGTGAGCAGGGAGGAAACTGCTGCTACACTCTGCAGAGTGTCAACAAAGTCATGAAGAAGGTCAGAATCAAATCATAAGAGTTGAACAGATGTTTTTTTGTCCTGATTGTAAGAACTAAGTCACTAAATCTATTGTTGTGAGTTTTTTAACAAAAATTCATAGTTTTCAAATTTTCCAACTCAATAACTTTGACAATACAGACATTTCCTCGTGCACCATGTTTTTGTGTAAAATACCTTGGACTGTTATTTTGGCTATCAATTTTATACAATATAGATTACAGATTTCATGTGTGGTGTTTAAAACAGAGGAGAGGCACATACATGGCGTTTTTGATGGAAGTTGTATCCTTGGACTTGGCACTGATAACAGATATAATCTATATCAAAGGCAATTTGCTGCATCCCTTTGATTTAGTCCACATACATGAAATAACACATTTCTGCATTAGAATATACATTAGCTTATACCCACTGTTACGTTTATTAAATCAAAATCACAGGACATCAACATGCATGTTTTATCTCAGTCTTATGTCTATATGGGCAAAGTAAGATCACTTTTCACAGTGTACTGCCTAAATTAAAATCATATCTGACCAGGTTTGCAGATTTGTGAAGTTAAGTTTACACATGCTCTCAGTTTCCCTCCTGGTATAGCTGTAGTTCTTCCCCAGGGATTGGCTTCGCTGTTCCAGATGACACTAGTAACCAGTCTGGCTGTTTTTTTCATGAAGACACATTCATGTCTGTATTCAAACACACTCAGCCAATCTGTACTTGTAGATCCTGCATACCTTTACCAAAATAAAGGCTATGCCCTCAAGCCCTACAACCTTCCCCTTCATCTCTAGCACCATCATCAGGACAGAAATGATACATTTTTACATTGACTTAGTGTCCTACAGTAACAGCAAGCTTTATATGTCGCGTCGCACATGATCACACGGTCGCTGTCCACACTGCCATTTAATCAGTGTTAAAGCTAGAGTGTCCATTAATATGTTTATTTACCAAATAATATAATATATAAAAGTCATGACACTGCAATCAAAATATAGTTTTTTTAAAGCCTACATGAAAAATGAAAAAAAGGGCAAAGAAATGAGAGGCCTTGGTAGGCAACCCCTAGACTTACTGCTCAGCTACCAGCACTAGTAGTGACTGTGTTGTCTACATGTTGTTGACATGTCAGATTTTAACGCATAGACAACGTGTAAACACCGTGTAAACAAATGGTATACAATGTGTTGTTAACGTGTTGAAAGTCACGTGTATTTGAACAGTCTGGCATTCCATGGTAAGACCAAAAACTTGCTAAACTGATTTGTTTTCTGATTCTTAAGCAATGAATTGCATGTTAACTGACTAAGCTACAGTTGATAAACCTGGTAAACCATCCTGCTAAACATAAGCATGCTAACACTTCCATTTTGGGCATGTTGTCATTCTGCAGTGTCATGGTGTTGCCTTAAAGTTGTGTGAAGTAAAAACACTGACTTTTAAAGCGTATTCTAACATTCTTTCTCCTTACTCAACAGGGGATCCACTGTGTGCTGCCGTTGGGGCTGGACTGCGTGCGTCGGCTGCACAGGGCTCAGATCTTCCCTATTATCATCTTCATTGGCCAGTCTGCACGCAGTGCACGTAAACTGAGGTAAACTTTTCTACTTTTTCTGACAGAGCTCACCTCATTGCTCATGATGCAGCTTATCAGATTTAGATCATCTTTAAGATTTCAGCTATGCAAACATGCCCTCAGGTGAAAGTGATTACCCCACTGGAGATGAATAACCCAGTTTGTCCTGTGTATGACGTTAACACACAGAAAAAACAAATGGAAATATGTATGTTTGATCAGTGATCATATACAGTAACTCATACAAGCTGGGTCTGTTTCCATGCAGTGATGTTTGTTTTGTCGTACTCGGACACAACCCGACTTTTAAAAAAAGGGGTTACACCTGAATTAAATTAGAAGGCATCAAATGAGGAATCAGTGCATGGATGAATTTTAAACTTAATGTATGAAAAGAAGTTCAGGACAGTCCACCAAAATCTTACATTTCCACTTCAGCACTCATATAAGTAACTGAGGGTGAGTGCATATTTTGGATTTACTTTCTGAATTTTAAACATAACAAATCTTCTCACTGTGATTTTCAGTGAAAGATTTTTGAGCAATATTAAAAATGATTGTTTCTGTTTTATTTACATGTCAGAGCATCACACTTTCTTTAGAACCAGTGTTGTATCTTAGTGTTTGTTTTTGCAAACCTTTAGGGAACCTTTTACATCAGTGTATTTCAGTAACTATGGTTTCATTTACATTAAATCTAACTTTCCATGAAAACCATTGAATCCCAAAGTACACTTAACAAACAGGCCTTTAAGTCTGCTGACCAGATTTTATTTATGTTGAATAACTTAAGAATAGCAACAGAGGGAAAAAAAAGTTTTTAAAAAAAATTCATGCCCGCCTGCAGCCGCAAAGTGGTCCGGTCTGTCACAGGAAAAACTCTCATCTCTTCAGAGAGATATTTGTCTTTCATTAAATGTCGCCAGTCCAGAGAGAAACCTTTTCCCTTTAAACAGAACCTGGCCTTTCATGTTGATGTTTCATGTAGATAAGACAAACTCATTTTAGCTGTAAGGAAATAACCTGACGTCGTGAAAGTCTACACTTGTACTGTCCTTATCTGATCAAAGATGTACAGTAGATCCTGCATTCATCTTTTACTTTATCTCCTTTATTCCTTCTATCAAGGGCGAAGTTGCATCGCCACAGCCAGTCAGAGGAGCAGCTCCTCGCATGTTCAAGGAGTGAGGAGCCCCTGTTGGACAAGCTGCCGTGTCTGTATCACAGCGTGACTCCGGACTCCTGGTGTGACCAGGCCTCCCTGCTGACAAGCCTGCGCACCATCATCCGGGAGGAGCAGCAGAAGATTGTCTGGGTGGAGCCGGACCTGTGGTGAAGCAGAGGACAGAACAGAACATTCAGAAGACATAGAATTAGAAGTATTATCTCTCATAGAACTCTTCTAATAAGAATATTTAACAATTGTGTAAAAAAGCTTTACAGGAAAATATTTTTCTGAACATGTGTACGTATCTATGATACCTATGAGTTACTTGGTGTAAGAAGGACTCTTTACTTTTTTACTGTATGTTTGAAAGGTGTTCACACCTCGTGAAGTATAGGGTTGTAGGATGTTGAACTTCAGTCTTAAAAAGAGAAGATCCTACACTCTACTCTTGCTCAGTATACAAGAGGCATTCATTTAAAACAAATACTGGTATGTGGTGCCCACTAAAAACACAAACATCATTAAAACATGCTAATGACCTCTGCAATATGTTTCAGATATTGTACTTTAAAAAACTCCCTCCAATAACCATTCTCTTTTTCATCTCTGGATCTTTTCTGTAAACATTCTTAATGACGTTACAGTGGCCACTTTCTCATTTCTCAGAATAGTGAGTGGAGTCTGTAATGGAGAATATTTTGATCAGTTCTGTTTGAAATGTTTCCAGCACACATTGTTTGGAAATTCCCAGAGCCTTGTTTATTTTTGCACATTTTATAGATGAAGATTTATGATTGAAACGTGCTGTGTCTATAACGTGTTAAAGGAGCAGTGGTGACATGGAAAGTCCAGTGGAATGCAGCCAACCGGCTTGTCACAGCAACATGTGGTGCAACCCCAACATTCCCCTCACACAGACAGGATGGTTACGTGTCAGATAGGCCTGATTGGTTGTTTGATTCACACCTGATAAGGATTTAAAAAAAGCATGACTTTCACAGATCAGAGACACATTTATTCAAAGGAAAAAAAAATAATGTATAGTTAATGACATGCAATGATTCAAATGTGTTACTTCAACCAACATTTGAATGAAAAATATTTACATTCTGTAGCTTTGATGTATAGATTTTTTTTCCTTTTCATAGTGATGACAACAATACTGACCCTGATAAGGTATTTTTTTAGTCGGTACCGTGCTCACTCCATAAATCTGCAGCTTATGGGCCAGTTGTGAGGAGGGCAAAAGTGTGACCATGGCCTCCAAGATGTGCATGCCTTCCAGGTCTTCATTTGAGGCACACAGTCCCTCCACCCATGGACACCCACAACAACTGGATGACCACCTGCTGCTGAATTTATGGGAGCAGGACCCCCCCCCCCCCCCCCCCACTCAACACTTCCTATTACCATACGGAAAAGACAAGAAGGAGTGCAGCACTAGCAGAATTACGAGCTGCTGGGACAAGTGCAAAGAGGAAGCTGCATGCACCAACAGAGACCCTTACAGTCCCCCCCCCCTTACAGTCCCCCCCCCTATTAAGAGGCTGAGGTCTGGACTGATCCCAAGATGCAGCTTTCCCCTGAGGTCATAAAAAGAAGAATGTATACAGCAGAATTGTAGGCAACATGCATCTTTCTCTGAATAAGATCAGAAAATTAAAAAGAGGCCTGTTGAAATATGAATCACAACTTTAAACGGACGATGTAAATGATTGAAGAATCTTTAAGGCATGATGGGATTGTTATAATAATTACGTGGAAGACTAGATCCTTCAGAGCATGAGAAAAAGTTGTTTCAGAAAAAGATGAGATTTGACAAACGTAACCATGGCTATCAGTCTCCAGAACGAGCAGTAACCTCAGTTATTAATCTAAGTTAGCTGTGTGAGCTTTATGTATATTATTTCTTTCATAAAAGTGAGAATCTCTGAACACATTTACTTATTTTGCTATATATCTCCTTAACTAAACATGACTATCATGGCTTGTAGCAGCTTTTAAAAAATCAGATATCGTTATTAGTAAGTGAGATTGTATAATAAAGTTTGGTCAGTAAACAGACACAGGTAACTCCAATCTGAGATCTTCTTCTCAAACAGTCCTGCCCTTTGTCTTGTATTTATTTTCAAATATTATTTTATATTAATTAACAGGTAGGCACAGTTCTGAAAACGTCTCAGGTGGAGTCAATTTAGCAGGGGTGGAGCAGCATTTTAAAAGTGTGGGTGTTCTAATACTTGTATATTACCACCCTCTAACAAATCAACACATTCTGGTTCATTTAATGTCCAATAACTAATGTTAGCTGACACATCATACAACAAGACAAAGTTACAAAAGATTATAAATAGACACTAACTTTATGAACATCCATTTTGAGTAACCCAGTTATCTTAAGCTCTAAAAACCAGATTCAAAATTGCTCTTTGTGATGCTTTTATTTTGCTTTTCTTATTGCCTTGTGCCTCAGTCTATTTATTTCCGGTCTTCAAATATAATGTGATTTTATTTTGAAAAACTGCAAAGGGGACTTCCGCCACATCGTAAAGTTACGGGAGTAAATAAATAATGCTAAACTTACGTTGTTTTGTGAGGTGGGTTTATCTTAAAAACATTTGTTTGGGTGACTAACTCTTTCAGAAGGATGCTACATGTAGCATGTGTCCATTTGTTAGCTCTGAGCTCTGACTCAAGACAGTGATGACTGACAGGAGGATTACTGCTAAATGAACGTAACTTTACCGTGCTTCAACTGTAACCAAACAGCTATGATTGGCTTAACTGTCACTTAATAAATCTTACTTGACCAATAGGTTTTCATCGATGACTCCACTGGTAAAAAGGGTGGGGGATGAAATTACGTTTCAGTGAAAGTGTGGGTGTCGCAACACTCACAACACCCACGGGGGAGACGCGCCCACTCACTCCTTCGCAGCCGCAACATGATACAATGTTTGACCCACGCACACACACACACACACACACACACACACACACACACACACACACACAGGTTATTTAGGCATGAGCGAGGACGAGGACTTCTCTCCTCCAGAGTCTCCTGAAGACCCTCCTGTAGATCATGAGGACCACGGAGGTCCTGAGCCGTATCGGTTTGATCCGTTAGCAGGGGCAGCGAGTGATCAGGACAGTGAGGTGCAGGAGAGGACGGGGGACGTCTCTGAATGGTAGGCTACACGAGGCCCCCTGCAGGATTTATTATGACTTTTACATTTTAGACAAATAACTATTTTAAAATGTACAACATGTTTCACAGTAATGCACTTTGATTTATTTTCTTTTACAACAGGTGTTCTTGTTGTCACTGTTCAAAGCTCTCTCCTCGAGAGAATATCTGCTGCAAGGAGGTGGCAAAGGTAACAGAACACCAAGAGCCACAACAGAACAATGTATGTTTGATCCCATACTGCAACCTGGCACTACTGCAAAGAATACCTACAGATCACATTGCATTATTAGTTCATGATCTCATAACACATTCATCCATACACAACACCATCACAAAGTTATTCAGTTTTTCATTTCATGCAGGTGATGCATAGATGTGAGCAGGTTGGGGTTGCAGCCTGCATAACTGCCCACCCAGGTTTCCAACCAGTTGCCCTCAACCCCTATGTGTTTTGTCCTTTGTTTTTGTTATTTTTTGCCAGCGCATCACATTTATTTCCCAATCCCTGGGCACAATAAATAACATTTTAAACACAAATTGTAGAAGACAATCTCAGGATTTTGTTTTATTGTTGTTTTAATTCAAATACACTTCCTTTGCCATATGCCAAGGGTGAAAGTAGTGGGTAATGTCTGGTCTCTGCTCCCACAAAAACTTCTGTACCACCGTATGTCTGTCGGTGACAGTGGCCTTGATTAGGACCTCTTCCTTCTCCATCCGTAAGCTGTTTTCAACTGCATTGCTCTGACAAACAAAATAAAGTAGACATGTGCTCTGCAAAGTTAAAACAAAAGGACTAATATGATTCTGAATTCCAGCAGTTTATCAGTGTTATACCTGCACTAGTTGAATGTCAATGACCTTGTTTGTTTTGAGTGTAGCTCCCATACTTTGTAGAATGTCCTGCACTTATAAGAGAGAAAACTCAGAAAAAAAGTATTGCCTTTGTATGACTAAACAGACAATAATAATCATCTATTATCATCTATCTATCTCATCAAAGTAAATGATCAGCTGGTGAGTCAGCACGCATGTCACAACCGAGTGTCACATCCACCACATCTCTGGTGTCCTTGATGATGTCTTCCTGGTGTCTGTTAGGACAGTGTTTCTCAAATGGGGGGGACGTGTACCCCTAGGGGTACATGGGAGTACTGCAAGGGGTACGTGACAAATGTCATTTAAAAAAAGTTGCACCACAACAAACCAATATAATGATTTCTCGGAAAATCCATTCACTGATTAAAGACAAATTAATTAACAACATATGTTCTCTATGCAACATTTAATAGGGCACTATTTCCAACTTGAGGATATTCATTTATAAAATAGCTTGCTTTATGTATGAATGTATGAAAACCACATACATCAATTTATTCATGTTCTTTTCCCAAATTATTTCCTGAAAATCTTCTTGGCCGGACAAAGGGGTACTTGGCTGAAAGAAATTCTGAAAGGGGGTACACTAGCCCAAAAAGTTAGAGAACCTCTGTGTTAGGACATTCATGCGCAATGAATGGTTCCACATCATCTGCGTCACCACAAGAGGGAGCAAGACTTCAGATACGTTAGCTAACATTTTGAAGTAATAATTGCTAGAGAGAAAAAAAAAAACTTGGGCCTACAGGATGGCCCATTTCGTTAGCTTGATTTCTGATCGAATGAAGTGATTTTAAAACTTTAGACCAACACTTATTTACACTGTCTTAGTTTAAGTCACATTTTTATTCAATTCAATTCAATTCAAAAAACTTTATTTGTCCCGGGGGGGCAATTCAAAGTCCCACAGAGCAGTAAATTAACAACAGTGCAAGTAAACAAAACGTTTTAACCTAAATATAAAGTGTCAATTTAAATACAACTTAAAGCTTAAACTTAACTTCAAAATACAAAATATAAAAGAGCAGATATAAGTGGACAGTGATTGGACTAACAGATGTAAACAGATGTAACCAGAACTATGTGCAGTAGTGACCAGATGTAAACAGAACTATGTGCAGTAAACAAGAAATAAATATATATATACAGAGCTATGTGCAAGTAGGCAAATACTAAATGATAAGTTAATAAGGTGCATGGTGAATAATGGAAGAACAGAACTAATATATACAATATAACTGTAAAGGTAAAAATGAGAACAACAGGAATAAAGTAACCAGAACTGTATGAATACTGATATAGAAAGGATAGAATAAAGTGATGTAGTGCATGAGACCAGATAAAGCAGAGGCAGTTAAGGTGCATGGCAAATATAAAGGAAGTAAAAAAGCAAAGTTCACAGCTGAGAGTCTGCATTGGGTGAGAGGTGTTGGTGTCTGTTGGGGGGGGGGGGGGCTAGGAGTTGAGGAGCTGGACAGCCCTGGGAACAAAGGTTGCTTTTCTCCTCTGTGTCCTGCAGGGACAGCGAAGCTGGCGTCCTGCGGGGAGCGAGCCACTCAAACGCTGGGAAGAGAGCGTGTGAGGGGTCCTGCATAATCCGACCTGCTAGCCTGATTGTCTGTTGCTCATAGATTGATTGATGTCAAAGTCCTTACAGGTAGTCCAATGATCTTAGATCAGACTGTGACCGTGCTCTGCAGGCAGTTTCTGTTCTGGAGGGTGGTGGAGTGGAACCAGCAGGTTATAGAAAAAGTAATAATGCTCTCAATGAAGGAGTAGTAGAAGGTCAGAAGAATGTTCTTACTGACTCCAAAGGAATTGAGCTTCCTTAGGAGGTATTTTCGCTGCTGACATTTCCTGAGAATCTCCCCGGCGTTGGAGGAGAATTTCAGCAGGCTGTCGAAGATGGTACCCAGGTACTTATACTCCTCTACTAGTTCGACAGGATTCCCATGGATTGTGGTGATTGCTGATGCAGCCAGTTCCTTCTGCTTGTTGGAGAAGGTCACCACCATGTCTTTGGTCTTGCTCACGTTCAGTTCGAGGCAGGAGATGTCACACCACTCCACAAACTCCTGAAGAACTGGTCCATAGTGCTGAGAGGGGCCTGACAGCAGAGACAGGAGAACTGTGTCGTCTGCGTACTTCACCAGGTGACAGTTTGGCTGCAGTCATCGGTGTAGAGGATGAAGAGCAGAGGTGAGAGCACGCAGCCCTGAGGGGAGCCAGTTGAGGTGTGTTGGAGGTTGGAGAAGGTGTTGTTGA